TGAGGCAAAGAACGAGATCAGAAATAAATTGTGTAACATCTTAACAAATTTCAAAGGTAAAATAAAACAAAACGCAAATAAAAATATGGCATGTCATGTTAATGGATTGATAACTGAAACAAAAAAAATAATGTATGAAAACACAAACATTTGCTTAATAATTTGATAAATGTAACAAAACTGTAATTATGTTAAAAAGTGAATACAAAACGAAAATGCTACGCTTAATAAGTGATATAAAAACATATAAACCGGAAAAAAAGGAACCTACTACCAATATACAAACAAAACTACATAAAATAATAAATTTATGGCATAAAAAGAAATTCATAACAGATAATTTGAAACGAACACTATCTTGCACCAATGGCCGAACACCATTTATATATGGCCTACCAAAGCTTCATAAGGAAAACATTCCATTACGACCAATAGTTAGTAACATAAATGCTCCAACGTACCAATTGTCTAAATATCTGTCAGCAGTTTTGAGTAATGTATTGAGAAAGTCACAATATTACATTAAAGACTCATGGAGTTTTTGCGATTTTATAAAACAACAAAAAATACCAAAGAATCATCGCATAATATCATTGGATGTTGTATCATTATATACAAATATACCAATAGATTACTCAATAAGCTGTATAAAAAAGAAATGAGCAGAGATAAAAGAACATATAAAATTACCCGAAAAAGAATTTATTGAGGCGGTAGAGTTGTGCTTAAAATCTACATATTTCCAGTACGAAAACAAGTTATATTCACAGATATGTGGAGTAGCAATGGGTTCTCCCATAGCAGCAACAATTGCAAATTTGGTAATGGAAAATTTGGAAGAACAAATAATATCTAAATTAAACCATAAGTGTGAATTTTTTAAACGACATGTGGATGACTGCATAATGTGCCTCCCAAAAGACAAAATTCAATATACACTAGATAAGTTTAATGCCTTTCATGACACCCTAAAGTTTACTCTCGAAGAAGATAAAGGAAATTCTATAAACTTTCTAGACCTAACAATTAATTATGATAACAACGGGGAAATCGAAACAAATTGGTACACAAAGGAGGTATGGTCTGGTAGGTACCTGAATTATCAATCGTACGCTCCAATGAAATATAAAAGAAGTGTAATAACGGCACTTACAGATAGAGCCATTAAATTGTCACATTGGGAGTATAGAACAAAAAATATTGAAAAAATAAAAAATATATTATTAATAAACAACTAGCCAAAGTAATTTTTTGAAGCAATCATAAAGCAAAGGATAAATACAATATACAATTCAACTAAATGGAAAAACATAAATAAAAGAAGAGAAGGTGATATTAAGTATATATCATTACCATATATTCCGGAAATTAACACAAAAATAAAAAATATATTCAAACCACATAATATCAACATAGCAGAAAAAACTAAAAA